TTTAACCGTTTATTTCCATGGTTCAAACCTGTGAACACAAGGTCATATGGAAGCAATTTTACCAGTTACGCCAAGGTTCTCTTTTTCAAAGCTTCGATTTAAAACAACGTGAGAAGGATGTTGAACCCCTCTCGCATCAGAAAATATGCGAACTTTTCACCACTGCCCATCTCTCTTAACTTCAACCTAGTGTAGCACTTCATTCCTTTTGCTCTCCATGGAATGAGGTGGCACTATCGTCTACTAACTTTTGCATCCCACCCTGGAACAATGTCCCAAGGATAAACATTCTTGGACCGTTGCTCGTGCACCTTGCAACTCTTTTGATTTTTCTTGTGATAGAAGGTGAAGCTACATCTTCTGGTCTTCCCTTCTGGTCTTTTTCTTTTGCTGCTCTTTTTTAACGGATTACGCCCCAGAATTTCAACTAAACGTTCAATCTCCGCTGCTGGAAATATGATTACATTTATCGAATACTTTCTTCTTCAAACCTCTTTGGGTACGAAGATATCCCCAACGGTCAAAACGGGGTCCCCGGGAAGGAGGCTCTCGAAGATGATGCTCTCGAGAACATGGCCTTAGAAGTAGATTAGATTTTTGGCTTTTGTTTTTGCTTCTTTGTTTCTATGTAAGTACCCTTCGTGGGTGTTGTAGTTATATTTTGTAGCCATCTCTCAGAAATATAAAGGATACCTTTATATTCCTTTTGGCTCGTGTTGAATTCCGTTCTGTCTTTATTTGTGAAAAATGTGATTGTGTAATTTTAACGACTAGTCCAAACACCGGACTCGGGACATAATAAACCCTAATGTTTTTAATCAACCAACATAATATCCCTTAAGGCTTTCGTTAATTCTCGAGCTGAGCTTAAATCGATTCGATGAAAACTCGGAACATCGGGATTCCTGAGCCCAAGTTAAATGAGAGCAAGGTCTCGAATTCAAAATAAAGTTAGCCCTTAGTCACCGTAGACGATCATCGAGTGAGAACTTCCTTCGAACTTGAGTAGCTCTTGGGCTTAGCAGTCAGGCGAGTACTTGCTCGAATACCTCGAAATAAAGTTAAGCCCTTACGGCTTTTTGTTAGTCCCGACGCGAGAAATTTCTCAAACTCGGTAGCCCTTCGGNCAGATTAGTTCGCATTTGCGAACTTTTCTTCGCATTTGCAAAGATAGCAGAAATGTGAGAATCTTCGCAAATGTGACGGATTTCTCGCATTTGCGGGCTTCTCATTTACGAAGCCCTGGTCGCATTTGCAACATCTACAGCTGGTAAAAGTGACTCAGACGGGATTTTTCTCCCATTCTTCAAATTTTCAAAACCTAAAACACAAGGGGCGATTTTCCAAAGAGATTTTCTTCCCCAAATCATAGGTAAGTGATTCTAAACTAGTTTCTTTCAATCTTTCGCTTCATTTTACAAAATTTCAACCTAGAATCTAAGGTTTTCATGGTGAAATTTGGGATTTTTGGGTAGAAACTAGGGATTTCGAAATTTGGGGATTTAGACCTCAAATTTAGGTCGGATTCCAAAACCAATTATATATCCGTGCTCGGGGGTGAATGGGTAAACGGGTTTTGTCCGAATTTCGGGTTTGGACCAAGCGAGCCCGGGTGTTGACTTTTGTTGACTTTTTCAATAATGGCCTAAATTGAATTCTTTATGATCGTAGGTGATTCCTGAGGCTTATTTTGAATCGCTTGGTTGGTAACTTGCTAGATATTGTTGGTTCAGAGGCTAGTTTGAAAGGCAAAGCCGTGGTTGAGATTTGAGTGGTCTTTAGAGAGAGGTAGTGTTGTGTCTAACCTTAACTTTAGGGAATTAGGAACCCTCAGACTATTTGCTATGTGATTCTCATGTGAGCGGAGTATATGCGAGGTGACGAGTTCTTATACGCCGCCAAATTATCTAATTTTCCTGATTTACCGCTTTTCCTTAATTGTTCCCCTTTATGTCTTAATTGTTATATGCTCTACATGCTTTCCATGATCAAATGCTACCTGTTAATCAATGTCTTCTCCTGTTAATGATGTTAGCTGTTTTCTTAATTTCACGAATCCTTGCTATTTGCTTAACTTGACTTGTTTTCACCTTATAATTGTAAATTGCTGGATTGGTCTCGCTGTGTAGTACTATTTGTGTAGATTCTATATTGAACAAGGTTTCCCTTTTGGTTCAGTTTGGTATTTATTGGTCGTAAAGGCTTTGTAGTTTCCACTATTGATTTGACTGTGTACACCGAGTGTTTGATAATGATATGGTGGGATGGAGTTGCACGCTGCAACATGTGTAATAAGGGTGGATTGATATAGAGGAATAAGGGTGAATGTGTTTATACGGTGGGATCGGGTTGCACGCCGCAACAGGTGAAATAAGGGTGGTTTGATATGGTAAAATAAGGGTGAATTATGATATTGATACTGATATATGGTGGGATCGGGTTGCGCGCCGCAACAAATCTATATTATTTACTATTATTGATATTGTTACGATGGAATAAAGGAGGATTATGTGTTGTCTGGTGGGATCGGGTTGCGCGCCGCAACAACCTATATGTTTCCTTTTTCTGAGCTCCGTTGTTTCCTTGTATTGTTATTTGATCTGGTAAAAGTTGGCAATTCTGGACGACACAGTTTTACTTTCGGGGCTGTAGTTATATTTTCGGTTGGCTGTTTAAATTCTGTTTGGTATTTCCATTACTCTATCATTATTATATACTGCGTACAGGTTATAGTGTAGGTGACCCGCCTTAGCCTCGTCACTACTTCATCGAGGTTAGGCTCGGCACTTACCAGTACATGGGGTCAGTTGTACTGATACTACACTCTGCACATTGTGCAGATTTTGGAGTCGATCCCAGCAGAGGTTGTAGAGTGCACGGATTGGACATCGGCGGAGACTTGAGGTACGACTGTTCCGCGCCAGCAGCTCCTGGAGTCTCCACCCTCTTTTCTTTTTAACTGTATAACATCATTCAGACATCTTTGTACTTATTTCAAACCTTTATATGTATTACTTTAGAAGCTCGTGCACTTGTGACACCAGGTTCAGGGAATTCTAATAGACGTTTGGCTGGTTTAATTTCCGCATTTATACTTAGAACAAATCTGTTATTTCAATTTGTTATTAATGTCATCATTTAGGTTGTTAAAATAAGTAAATTGTTCTAACGTTGGCTTGCCTAGCAAGTGAAATGTTATGCGCCATCACAATCCCGAAGGTGGAAAATTCGGGTATACAACTTAAATATATTTTTATACAAATTTTATACAATATATCTTTTGTATATTTTGTATCTCATTTATAGAGTAAAATAAATTTCATATAACTAGCTATATATTATACAACTTATTTACTACTTATCTACAACTTTCATACATTATTTCTACCCAGTTATATACAACTACAATATCATACAACTTAAATAAAATTTTTAAATAAAAAAACATATAACTACAGCAGAATATAATTTTTCTACAATTTTCTACAATTTCGTAAGTGTAATGTATGTCATGTCAAGTCTATTCTTCTTCTTCTTCTTCTTCTTGTTCTTCGAGTTTCAATCTGAAATTCATCCAAAATTAAGTCTAATCTTCACCAAAACACCCTCAAAATTGAGATATAAACTCCAACAATATTTCTAATTGTTTGCAACAACAACCAATCCAAACAAATAATGGTTTTTGAAAACCCAAATTCAAATCAAAGCTTCAAAGCTTTTAAATGGTTGTCAATGGTGGAGAGTCTAATACCTTCACGATTTATTGATTGACAGTTTCAATTTGAACACCAATTGTACAACATTACTGGAATATGAATACCAATTGTGCAACACCTTCAGCTCTATATTATTGAAATTTCAATAAGTGTGGAATACTGCTCTCTTTCCCTTTGCTATACATTACTGGAATTATATTGTTGTTTATCACTACGAAACTGAGTGTCTTTGTAAAATTGTCAAATTCTGTCAGGTTGCAATAGTTTGTTTTTTTCATTTAAACGATGAAAATTTCAGCAGCTAAGCCCTTTGTTATTGTTTTGTAATAGTTCTTTCCAAAAATGGTAGGGAAAAGGTAAGTAAAAGACAAGAAGATTGATTGCTTGTGAGAGGGATTGAGAGACAGAGAGAGAAACGTGGGGGAGTGAAAGATATGTTAGAGTAATTTTAGGACATTAATTATTATCATCAATTTCCTTAAAATGTACATACGTGTAATTGAGTATATAAAATATAATTATCATAAAACTTGAGTAGGGAAGATAATATAATTTCATATAGTGTATAGGAATATAATGTTAAAATATGCTAATAAACTTTGTTTGTTTAAGCCCATTCGGTAAAATAAAAATATATAGTTAAGTCGATAGACATCAATTGAAGATATTCTAACACTTCTGCAACTTCTAGTTAGGATGATGTATTTTGTAGACTAAATTATACAAATATAAAACACTCAATTTTTTCCTTCCTCACTATCCGTTTTGGTTTACAATGCAAGGAAATTCTCACCTATTAATTAGTTGTCTTTTCTTCTTGGTGGTTAACGTATAGTTGGTTTAATTGAGAAACGTTGTGACAAGTCAATTTTGTTAAACCCATACCCCACCCCACCCTCACCCCCTCTTTTAAATTTTAATTAACTTGGTATTTCTTTCCTTGATATTGTTTTGACATATTCTATAAGGGGTAGTTGAAAGGTCGAATAACACATTTCATGAAAATATCTTTCCGAATAGTACTTTAAATAGTTTGGACTATAAATTATTAATCTAAAAACGTGATAAGTGATATTCTAAACTGTTTTCAATTGATTTATGACGTGTTCGGGATGGCCTACAGATCTTAGCCCAAGATCATGTGCTGGAAATTTGACCAATCGTGATAAGCAACAGGTTATTTGATTTAATAAACTTACGGGACTTGAATTGAATGGGCAGGAAATGAATATCTTCTCCCATGTGTATCACAATTTAAGATGTAAATGCACTTCCACCGTGAGATTTTACTGGGTTGTTGTTGTTGATATTATATACACGAGTTGATTTAATTAAATTCGCTCTATAAATACATACCATTGGTGGCATTAGAGATAACAAACCTAATCAAGGCAGTATGTCAAGGAATGAGAATGGATCCACTGATCTTCTCCGAGCTCAAGCTCAAATCTGGAACCATATGTTCAGCTTCATAAACTCTTCAGCAACAAAATGTGCAGTTCAACTAGGCATCCCAGATGTCCTCTACAAACATGGCAAGCCCATGTCTTTTTCCGATCTCTCGGCTGAACTTCCTCTCGTGCACCCTTCGAAAGTTCCCTTCTTGACAATTTTAATGCGATTTTTAGTTCATTCTGGATTTCTAAATCAACATGATCAAAATCATTATTCTCTAACCCCAGTGAGTCGACTTCTTGCTACGAATAATCTATCGGGTACGAGGTCACACTTTCTCATCAACCATATTCAATTGCTCCAAAATGCATCGTTTGAATTAACTAGTTGGTTCCAAAATGATTCCCCCACTGCTTTTCATACTGCTCATGGAATATCTTTCTGGGATTATTTTGTGGAAAAACCAAAGTTAGGTGAAAGTTTCAATGTTGCAATGGCTAGTGACTCTATGTTGGTTGCTAATGTGCTTATTACGGAGTGCAAATATGTATTCGAGGGCTTGAGCTCTTTGGTTGACGTTGGAGGTGGCACGGGCACTGTTGCAATTGCAATAGCCAAAGCTTTTCCTATGATAAATTGTACTGTATTTGATCTTCCTCATGTTATAGGCGATCTCAAGGGAAGTGGGAACTTGGAGTTTGTCGGAGGAAGTATGTTTGATAAGATTCCTAATGCTAATGCCATATTACTCAAGGTATATTTTTTTATGTTATTATGTGACTTGTGTCTTTTACAAATCCATTTTTATCACTAAATCATGATTATGTAATATACCTATTTCATTTTGTGGAAACACTTCTCTTTTTAGTCTGTCAAGAATAACACATTTCTATATCAAGAAATAATTTAGATTTAAACTCAATTTTATCCTTAATGAGATGGTTTGTACTCCCTCCGGTCCACAATAAGTGACCAGTTTGCTTTTGGCACACTCATTAAGAAAATACTAAATTCTATACAAAATTACCTAGTATGACTAAACTACCCTTAATTAAATGTTTAATGTGAGCAGTAAGAAAACTTTTTAGGGATATGTACATAAGGGTAATTTTGTAAAAACAAATTGAATTCTTTTTTATTATATAAATGGACACTTATTTTGGACCAAAATAAAAAAGCAAATTGGTCACTTATTGTGGGCCGGAGGGAGTATACTACATAATTAATGATTACGTACAACTTGTTTTAGACCATAAGTTTTGAAAGCTTTCTTAAATTTTATACCTAGGTAAACATGATCACGTAAATGGAGAGATTTACTTCAATTACATGTATTTGCATATCTATGAGAATTTGCAATTAGTAATTTCTGACTTTTTAAATCCTATCTCCTCGATTTCTTGGTTAAATAGTGGATTCTGCATGACTGGAGTGACGAAGATTGTGTGAAGATACTGAAGAAATGCAAAGAGGCAATTCCATGTAGGGAGAAAGGAGGGAAAGTTATTATCATAGACATGGTGATGGAGGATCCAATGCTAATTAGCGATGAGGAATTTGTTCGAGCACAACATAATATGGACTTGCTAATGATGGTTCTTTGTGCTGCCAAAGAGAGAACTAAGAAGGAATGGGAGAAGCTCTTCACTGAATCTGGTTTCACTCAATACAAAATAACTCACTCTCTCGGCTCAAGGTCTCTTATTGAAATCTACCCTTAAAAAAGTCTTGGCTTACAAATTTTCTACGCTCGTGAATCAATAAGACTTGTTTATCATTTAAGGTTCATAGCATTGAACTAATTTATTTTAAAATTTTAGGTTCAGACCTACTATTTGTTGTTATTTTAGCATATTCTTATGCAAAAGATTATGCTTCGAGCCGAAACACTATATCCGCCTCTGGCTTTTGTGAATAAACATATAATTAGCTTATGAATTATATTAATATGTTTGTCTTGATGTAATAGGTATTAGTAGAATATACTATTTTTGATTTCCATTTACTTCTTAATGTCTTGATATTAACCTTGCTAATCAACTACATGGTTCCATTCTCATTGTTTATGTAACTCTAATGAATATAGAAAAGTATTGGGAGAGCGAATTTCGAGAGGAGGGAAATCTTTTTGCTCTCGGCGCATGTTAAGCGAGGCATGCTAACTACAAAGTACACTGAAAAGATGACCCAAAACCACCACCGAGGGGACCGTTCAGCGACTCTGATGGAGGCGATGGTTACACCGGCAACTGGAATTCAACAGAAGAGAATTCCACTCACATTTGACAGCTTCCTCCCTTCGAAATTTCAATCAATCGAAGAGGAGAGTGAAATTGAGACAGAATTGGATAATTCCAACCAAAATTCTCCTCGTAGGGGGGGGGGGGGGATGAACTAGTGAAGAAGGAAATTCATGCACCTCGTCGATTACAATTCTCTGCAATTGGTACTGATAAGCAATCAACAGCTATGGCGAAGAAAGAGCAAATTCAACCAATTGAGGAATGGGCAATAATCGTGGATCTCAAATGGGGAAACCTCTTACCTATGTTCCTCCTTTGATGAGGGATGGCAAGCTGGTGGCGTAGGATTGTAGCAGATGATATCAAATCCCAGGAGGAATTTGGAATTCGGCACTGATAGGATATGTGCTTGGGGACACACCATATGCTCGATCAATGAACAGCTACATAATTACGGTATGGAATTTTGTCACTAATCCTAAGATTCTGTATCATGACGAAGGGTACTATATTTTCAAATTCCAACGATTGAGGATAAAGATTTGGTGTTGCATGCTGGCCCATACACATACCACAATAAACCTTTCATTCTGAAGAATTGAAAAATTGATTTCTACTTTGATCCAGAATGTCTTAGTATTATTCAATTGTGGGTAAAATTCCCAGGCTTACCAGTGGGGTATTAATCTCCTGAAACCTTAAGCAAATTGGCTAGTGGAGTAGGTAAACCACTGTATACAGACAAATTTACTGCAGAAATGGAGAAGATCTCATATGCTAGAGTACTGGTTAAAGCAGATGTTTCCCAGCCCTTACCAGAATGTATTGAGATTAGTACACCTTTGGTGTATTTCAACAGCAGGTGACATATGATTGGAGGCCAAATTTTTGTGTAGATTGCATAAAATTTGGCCATGACTCTGAAAACTGTAGAAGGATTACTACAGAAACAAAGGAGGAACCTTACCAGGAAGTGGCTAAGAGGAAAAGGAAAAGAAATAGGAAGAAGAACCCAGTTTGGCAAGCAAAAATGCCAAACAAAGAGCTGGGAGACCAACAGGGTGGTTCAGAAACTGAAAATACATAGGTTGAGGCACAGCAAAATGCCTCCCTAAATGCAGAAGAGGATCATACTGCACAACATGCTGAACAACAGAATACTAAAGGGTCAAAAGGCAAAAGCATTGATGTACACGAGACCTCACAGAGAGAGCCAATGATGCTGAAGAAGGCAAACAGATTTGCTGCTCTAGGAATTGAGGAACCTACCACTACAAGGGGAGGGCTTGTATGTGCACAGAGGAAGGCAGACCCCCCGTGATTGTGTGCACCTGGAATATTAGAGGGCTAAACAAGCTCTCAAAACAGAAAGAGTTGAAACTCTTTCTAGCAAGATATAAAATAGACATTATAGGGTGTGTGGAAACAAGAGTTAAAGAAGGTAAAGCAAAGAAAATTCTGCAGAAAGTAGCTAAAGGATGGAACCACAGCTGCAACTACAACATAACAACAAATGGTAGAATTTGGCTCTTATGGAAAGATCATATAAATGTACAGATACTATCAATAAAAGACCAGTATATCCATTGCTCAGTAGAGGATAATACAAGCCAGTTTAGTGCAGGGTTTATAGTGGTCTATGCAAAGAATACATTACAACAAAGAGAGGAATTGTGGACTGAATTACAACAGATGGGGGCACCAATAAATACACCATGGATCCTATGTGGAGACATTAACAATGGTCTAACCACTGAGAATAGAATTGGACAACCAGTCACAGCCAGGAAAATTCAAGAGTTCCAAGAGATGATTAATAGTCTGCAGCTGACTTCTCTAAGATCAACAGGATGACACTTTACCTGGTGTAACAAGCAGCCTGTAGCAAGCAGAGTATATAGCAAAATAGATTGGGCTTTAGGCACCTTTCAACGGCTACAGCAGTATGGACATATTGAGGCAGACTTCCTTAATCCAAGAGTATCTGATCACTCTCCTATTCTACTGAGATTTGGTCAGAAGAGAAGATTGCATCCAAAACCATTTAAATTGTTTAGCAATGTAATGGAACATCCTGAGTTCCATGCAATATTAAGTAGGGTATGGGAGCAGAACAAAGGTATAGATGCTATGGGTAGTATTTGTAGGAAGCTACAGGATTTGAAGCATGAGCTAAAGGACCTAAATTAGTATATGGCCTCATATACACAAAGGTTGAACCAAGCTAGACAACAACTGGAGATTGTGCAAGCTACCATATGTACTCAACCCTTTTGCCAGAACTTATTTGATCAGGAGAAGGAGATATTGGCTGAGATTGACAAATGGAGCAGCATTGAGGAGCAAGCACTTAGACAGAAATACAGGTCAAACTGTATTATGTGTGGAGACACCAACTCCAAGTACTTTCATGCACAATTGAATATCAGACAGAGTAAAAACACAATCACATCTATCTATACAGACACAGGTATCAAACTCACAGACCCTATGCAGGTGGAAGTAGAGTTTATTGCTTTCTTTAAGGGGTTAATGGGTAACTGCAGCAGGGAGATTATTTGTCCAAACTCAGAGGTCATTAAAAGAGGGGTAGTGTTGAATATGGATCAGAAAATAGAGTTGGTAAAGCCAGTGACAACTGAAGAGATAGACATAGCCATCAAAGATATGCCAACAGACAAAGCTCCAGGGATTGATGGATATCCTATAGAACTCTTCACAAAAAACTGGGACTTACTGAAAAAGGAGGTGTATGCTGCAGTGCAAGGATTTTTTAATACAAGAAAATTGCAAAAAAAGGTGAACTGCACAGCTATTACTATGATTCCTAAAGTTAGCTCACCATCTCTGGTCAAAGACTATAGACTTATTGCATGTTGTAATACCTTGTACAAAATCATTGCCGAGGTATTACAACTGAGGATGGAGAAGGTGCTTGGGAACATAATAGGGCACTCACAGCCTGCTTTTATAGAAGGAAGAAGTGTCATTGATAACATACTATTTAGCCATGAATTATTCAAGGGGTATAACAGAATAGGTGTATCTCCTAGGTGTGTTATGAAAGTGGACTTAAGGAAAGCATATGATACTATAGACTGTAGATTTTTGAGAAAAATGCTTAGTGATCTTGGATTCGCCCTTCAAATTCGTTGAATGGATTATGGATTGTGTCACAACAGTTTCATATTCCCTAGCGCTAAACGGAGGTCTTACCAAACCTTTCCAAGGAAAAAGAGGGATCAGACAACGTGACCCTATGTTCCCTTATCTCTTTGTAATTGCTCTGGAATACTTGCAAAGAGAAATGATGCAACTGGCAGAGAATGGGGACTTTAACTTTCATCCAAGATGCAGGAAACTGGCCATAATCCATATTTGTTTTGCTGATGATTTACTCATGTTCTGCAGAGCTGACATTGAATTCATCAGAATCCTTCAAAGAGCTTTTTAGAGATTCTCTGAAGCTTCTGGGCTACAAGCTAACACTGACAAGAGTTCTATTTACTTGGCAGGGGTGGATGCATATGAAGAACATGAAATACTGAACTTGCTGGGGTTTGATGAGGGTACTTTTCCTTTCAGATATTTAGGAGTGCCACTGTCATAAAAAAAAATTAACTGTTCAGCAATGTTTGCCCCTAGTTGAGAAGTACAGCAAGAGTAAGTTGTTGGTCTGCAAGGTTACTCTCATACTCTGGTAGAGTACAACTGATAAAATCAGTGTTGTTTGGAATTCATACCTACTGGGCACAGATATTCATTCTTCCTAAGAAAGTTATGAGGTTGATAGAGACTGTATGCAGATCATTCTTATGGACTGGTGAAGCAGCCAACACAAAAAAAAGCACTGATATCATGGGAAAAAGTTTGTATGCTCCAATCTGCAGGAGGCTTGAATGTCATAAACCTATGCATTTGGAACAAAGCTACTATGATGAAGTATTTATGGGTAGTTGCAATGAAAAAAGACTGCTTATGGATAAAATAAGTTCATATCTACTATATAAAGAAACAGGACTTGGAGCGCATGCCTATACCTAAGACTGCAGCTTGGGTAATCGGGAAAATCATAGAGACAAGGGAGAAGTTGCAGAGACAGTCCATGCAGGGATCCTTGACTGATTGACTGAAGATATTGCAGGTGCAAGAACAATTTTTAATTAAGCAGACCTATCTAATGTTGATGCCCCAGTATCAGAAAGTCCCTTGGAAGAGTATAATCTTACAGACAAGCATTCACCCCAGATTCAAATTTATATTATGGCTGGCTGCACATGAAAGACTATCTACAGTGGATAGACTAAACAAAATAGGAATACAGGTGCCACATGATTGTGTGTTTTGCAAAGCTACTACTGAAACACTGCAACACCTATTCTTTGAATGCCCAAGAACTAGCAGACTATGGACCAGATTACTGGTATGGCTAGGCATGAAATGGAACATCAATGGAGGGAAAGAGGTGCTTACATGGGCAAGCAGAATGGCTAGAAAGAACTCAGGCAGAGCTGCAATTGCCCGGTATGTATTTGCTATGCTTATATATAGTATATGGGGAGAAAGGAACATGATTAGATTCCAACAAGGCATCTTTGAGGAACACAAAATATGCGACGAAATTGTTTTACATGTGCACACAAGAGGCAGAATGAACTGTGTATCCTCTGTATCCCAGGTTGCTTGGAGCAATGCCTAAATTTGTAGTAGGTATGAAT